AGGGGGGTGAAATCCGGGTAGGTTCACCGGTAGTGTCCAGCATTGTTTCTTTGACTTACTCTGACACACAGGGTTTCAATTGCCATGGCGCCCGAATTCCAATTTAACTACACCTAATATTTGATAACATATTATCAACCCCCATGTCATTACATTGTTATCAGTTTTCCGTGCCCTGTGAATAATGACAAATTCCATCGAAGAAATTAGAATATGATAATCATTCTACGATATCAAAAACTGTTATGTTATCAAACCCTAGATATCGTTTATTGGTCAAGGCCTGGGTCAGTTTTGCCACTGGGTAGTGCCCAAGGGTCGTGGCAGGTGTAGTTATTTAATTTGCAGAGGGGGGTCAAGCAAAAGCACGGACATCACCTTTCGCTGTTTTCAATGGACGTACGTCACGTTGGGTGGCCGCAGGTGAAACATGCATACATACCCTTCATGGGTGACGTAATAAATCAGACTAATTATTCACCGTGGTTAACTTGTTTGTGTACTTATACAAAACTGCTGAACTTGGTCGTGGTATGCGGAATCAATACATTGGTGTGGTTAGCAATGTCCCTTTCTCTTCAATAGTATTTGGACCTCACGATTTGGGCGAGTCATAGTGTTGTTTATTGTCACTGCCCCGCACCTTAGTTTACATTTGTACGTTTTTGGTCAAGAATGATCATTCATTTGATTCATTCATTAAGGGCCTCGTTTTCGCCTCAGGAAGTCAAATTTCGCAAGAATACGCTTATTCAAAACCACCCAGTCTTCAAGTCGGCTATAATGGTGAATTGGGTATAATATGGGACGAATTGTCAAAACCCCCGTCATTCTTCGCGCCTTTGACTCTTTCACCAGTACGTTTCATTTGCATAATAGGTATGGTGCGTCTTGTTTTGCGAGCCACACTCTCTCAACTAGGGCTTTGTGCATGTTGCTTTACCGATCCGACCTTGTGCAAATAGGAGCCCATATAATACAAGGACNTCGTTAATTGTTTGCTCACACAATTTAAGATACAAGATGATACAATTATGAAGATTAAGCGTGTGGTACTTAGCACCACTCAGGTTGGTAGATTAGATGTTAATCTTCTTGATGGATATTCACTTTATTATCTTAAACGGTGGATTAATATCATTGCAATATTAACCAACATTCAAACATTCCACGTCTTGGAACTACGATACAAGATATCTTGGATCCTAGCTTGGAAGTTTCTAAACATAGCTCCGAAATGTAAGGTGGGCAATCATCATTAACTCCTTCATTCTATACGGGTAAATTAAAGCTACATTAGTGTACGATATACTGGTATTGGGATGACGCAAGCTAGACAAGTATTTTTGTGGTGAAATGCCACCGTTTTCATGGACAAGGCATGAGACAGTACGTTGTCGTTCATGGATATATATAATTGAAGTGATGCGGGTACAGTACGCCTGAACACAAATAGCTTATCAGTATTTTTAAGGAATGTAAAATATTTATGGTATTTATAATAGGCCATTGATTTTACGTGTAAATTCCCGGACAAACATTATATCCTGTAACATGTACACCTTAAAAGCAACACACCTTTACTGAATAAAACACCGTGCCTTAACTGTAACCGCAAATTATTTTCACCCTGCGGGGTGTTATTACACCCAAAAATGTAACTTTAAAATAGGATGCAGAAACATTCAATAAGCAATATTCTTTAGGAATGTGAAATATGTGGTTAAAGCTTCTGATTTTAGGAAAAACATTATGTATATCCTTTATCCTATTGAAAAGCCGTAAAAAACGCACCTGTACCGGCAGCATTCTTTTTAAGAATACAAAGTATGCGTACCCGGATGTGTGAATCCTATTTTAATAATAATAACAAAGTTAAAACTGAATACATTAAGAATTACGAAACATATATCGGAGTTGTTTTCTGTAGATTTCTAATTCTTGTTTATTGTCATATCCTAATGTGTAACACGATAAATAATACATGATTGTCAGATTATTATTATTTTATTATTTTTTTTTTGTGGGGGGGGGGGGGGG